AATTATTCACGAGCGCAAAAAGTCAATTTCCACACCGAAGGAAATATATACCTAATTCCAATAACCAAGTTGAAACCGGGAATTTTCGATTGTTAGGATTCCTGGTTGGAAATTCGACTTCTGTAAACAGACCTCGGGTTTCCGTGTCGCTTATGGCGGCGGCACAAGGGTCATTTGGAATCGGTGCTCGCGACACGATGCATAATACAAATTGGTGTTCTCGCATCTGGTTTCCGGTCGACGAGCGTTTCTAGCGACACGATGCGAAGCGACGATCGATGGGGAGGTCCGCGTTCGATCGTTCCCGAGGGAACAGCGGCACGTTGTTATTACAACCGATGGCCACAGGCGAGCTGTGCCCGTTGCTCCATTAATTAGTAACGAAATTGGTTTAAAATGGATTCGTTCGTAATTCGCTGAAAACATCCCGAGATACCGCTAAATCTATTGTTCCTCCTATTTCTTTTCTCTTCTCTATCCATCTATTGCATTGTTCTCTTTCATTCTATCAATTAAATGTCTCTACCCAGAATAAAGAGTCTCGCAATTGCATTATAAAATAATATTGTTTGAACGATCTCACGTTTTCATCACCAATCCATATACATTCCTGTCCATAATTTTCAAATGCAAGACAAATCGTAAAACGGATAGACGAATGAGACGTTAGAAGCGTACATGCAAAAGTAAACAGAATTTATGACATTTCATTTATCAACCGGTTCTCTCTAATTTCGGTTCTTTTATACGATGCAATCATAGTTAAATATACTTGTGAACTGCACAATAATTTATGATAGCAGCAAGTAGTACTGATATGGTTCCATTGCGTGCGGGAATTTAATGATCATAGAGATCTAAAAATGTAGAAGCGTAATCTAGATGAATAGACAGATTAGTATGCTAATCGTGTGCTATCTCATGATACGGAGTACGTAAAAATATACACCCTCGAATGAAGTGTTAGCAAGTTGCATAGATATGGAAATATAGGTACTTGACTGCGTTTGTAGAAATTAGTTATTCAACGCGAGGAGAACTACACCTGGAAGCATGGAAATTCCACGGGATTATTGAGTTCCAAGTTTCTATTTCTGTTCTAATTTTCACAGATGTTACTAATCGTTTTGTTAATACACTTTTTCATACATTATTTTTGATTTGCATTACGCATATATTTGAAAATTATAATTCGTATCTTCATTTTTAATGGAATCTCAACGTGTACAAAATAAACCTCAACCTTTTGACATCGTGGAGAATGACGAATTACGGTCATTATTACGTCACAATAATTAGTCGAGATAAAACGAAGGGAGGCGAGAGGAGAGGCAGAGGTCGTTCGGGTTGTGTGAGGTTTAGCCGGCTTTCTTCCGGAGCACCGAAACTCTCGGAGCACAAATAAATGAAAGGGCCACGGACGAGGACGAAGGCCGCGGCTACACGTTCACCTTTTGAAGCGGCACTCCTCAAAGCCTACGTCACTTTACGGAACCATCCAACTGCGTCACGAGAACGCTCGTCCCACGAGCCACCTCCCTTTCACCCTTTCACGTTGCACCCGCGACGTCATGCCAACAACAGCTACGCGTCGATACTTGTTAGAGTTTTTATTATTAATCTCCCTCGCCAGCTCGCCTTTTCTTAACAGAACGTACACTCCGTCCATATTTAACGCCGTCCACCCTTTCCCTCTCGATGTTTCTCTCGCTCCGAACTCATCCTTTACCACTCGTCCCATCCGTCTGTCTTTATCTCTGGCCGTTTTATCTTTGAGAACTAATTGTTACCTGAACGTGCGGTTGAACTTCTCGACACGGAGGAGCCGGGAGCCCGGAAAGTGTCGTCAAGCTGAAACAGCTTTCCCCCCACAGCTTTTTAAAAGCATTCAGTCGTGGATGACGCATCAGGTAGCATACACACTGCTGCTGCTGCTGCTGCTGCTGCTGTCTTCCTCTCTTACCTACACAGCAAGCGCGCGGGCGCGGCAAAAAACCGGGTATCGAATGCTACCGCATGAATAAGTCCCTTTGAAGTTTTCCAACATCGGTCTCCACCCACACCGCCCCCGAAAAATCTGCACGGTTTCAACCCCTTTAAACCCGTGCGGTCGCCCTTAAGCCGAGCTCACACAGGTGTTAAATTCAAGCTTCTATATAGTCTCTTTGAATTCACAAGAGATCGACTATTCCGATGAATAGACTGCGCGTTCCTGTGTCCACTCACAAGTTTTCAAATGTTTTCTAAAAATGTAATCCATCTGTTAGAAAATACAAACCAAACATCTTATACTTATAGTTTATTACATCCAACATGACGAGTCAGTTGAAAAATTGTCAATTATCAGAAGTTCACTAAAAGTGAAAGTACGTATCTCTGTTTCTAGAAAATGTTTGTTTACTGTCTTCTATTATAAATGTTTGAACGAACGCGTTCAAATATGACGCATGGGACAAGGTTCTTTGCACAATGGCTAAGTGGAAATATTTGCCGGGTGTAACGCGGTGCCCACATGGTAGTTCCGCCTCGTATGGATTAATTATAAAGTGCGAACTAACGGCATTAACGCATGCCACGGAAGAGTTTTGCATACCATTAAATTCTACATACTTACGACCGCGCTACTGTTGCCGGATTTACGTCGTTTTATTTAATTCTCCATTACGTCGGATCTCGCGAGATATTTCGCTATCCACAATTTGTTATCGTTTCGAGATTTCCATAGCAGTACGCATATTTCCGTTTCCGTGGAATACAGTTTCTTTATCGCAAGGGAAACCTGGGAAATGTTATGTGAATACTTCCAGAGAAAATTTGTACGTAAAACGTAGAAATGTTGCATGGCGTGAGAATATATTGAGTGTATAAGAAATCAACGTTGTAAATTCTTTAATATGACAGCTGTGTGTTTGGTTTTATTAAATATATAATATGCACATGGGCAATAAAAATAATAAGTGGCACCTGACGTAAAAAATAGGAGAGTTAAAAATCATTGAGAATTATTGAAGGATAAAGAGAAAAATCATTTATTGCGTCTGGATTTTATGAATTTTAATCAAAATTGAAAGATAAATATAAGAAATGCATACAATGGACGAAAGTGCATGAAGTGTTAACAGCAAAATACATAATATGATGTTTAAAAGATTAAAGGACATTCTTACTAAATATCATATGTTAAATTGATACTCAACAAATTTCATTTTACATAAAAATTCGCAGTCCAATTATTTTACTTAAATTAAACTTTTTAATTAAATATGATTATTAGAAACTAGAGTTTTTCTAAATTTGCGCAATAGGTTAGTCGCGTAGAAATAAATTTAGGAATTCTCGGATCAGGTTCGATGTTCGAAGGTGAGGGCGTAGCCAGGCGTCGGAGGTGGGAAAAGGGTTACGTGCCAGGGGGCGATTATTCGCGGGACAGGCGACAATGATTTATGCCGTGGCAGGGCTAGCAACGGATTCTTGCGACCGCAGGAACCGCGAGGGGTCACGAGCTCTGCGAGTCGAACCCGCCCGTTTCTCTCTTCCTCTGTCTTCCGGCTCGACCGCGAGGACGCCCGGCTTCGTCGGTAATTATTTATGTTGGCCGGTGTTCGCGCGAGACGGTAATTGAATTTGCGTCCGCCGTGGAACCGCCGCTGACCGTAATTCGTCGGCCGATGAAAGAACGTCGCGCGGGACGGAGACAGATAGAAAGAACGAAGAAACCGGGACGATTAATACGGTCTTAATTGTGCTGACCGTCGCGTCATGCGAGCGAAGCGTATACGCTTGGACGCCAATTGGAAGTCTCGTTAGAGAGGTCTTGCCCAAGTGTGGAAATTGTTGACTTCGCTCGACCATTTTTTTTTTTTTATACACCTCGTACATCTAGTCTTCTTTCCCATACTTATACAGCGCTTGAAAATGATGAGATAGAATGGAAATTGACGAATTGTCTTATATTAACTGCTACATAAAATCACTAGTATTTATAGCTATGTTATATATGGGATAGTTTGCTCATCGTTTCAAGCCTAATCGAACATTCGTCGAATCCACCCTATAACTTATCCACGATAAACTTACCTAACGAGCGCTATCCATTACTGGTTCTCAAAAGTTACAACATCGAGCATTCACCACGTGAGATAAATGTCTGTCGTTAGCGTGAAAAAAAGCTCCTCGACTCCCATAAGCTGGCAGCCCAACCCAGACATATGACTGCTCATAGATGAAAAAATGTCGCTTTTTCTGCCCGTTTACTCCGTAAAGGCTTGGCTACGTGACCGAAACGTAAAAGTCAGGCTCAGAGGTTTAGGACAAAGTCGAGACTAATTCCCTTTCATGCCGCGTGTCCCTACGCAAAGATAGATAAGAAGCGAACTGTATATGTGCACCGTGAACAGTGCACCATCCTTTCCGCCTCGGGTCTCGCAAACCTTTTTTCTTTTTTTGCTTCTCAATGTTCCCCGAGCGTGTACAATCTCTTTCCTCTTTATTTTTGATCCTCGCAAACCAAAGAGGCAGCTTCTGTTGTGCGTGGACCCTCGAAGCGAAGGGAGGAGATACGCCGCGAAAGGGCGCGACATTTGCGATTCAAAATGTTCACAGGGAGGAAATGAAGATTAAGGGCAGCGGAGGGTTTAAACGAACGGGAATTACGACACGTGTACTCGTGCGTGAGAGGGTGCCGAGGGTGCTGCACAGATGATCTATAGCCGCCTCGGATGCCTTTGTCCGGGCTCATTTTGTGAGTCAATATCAGAGGCAAAGAATCGGCCCTGTAGGTACTCGCAAACGTTAATCGAGCACCGCTCGCCCGAGTGTTTCGCAAACGAACTGATTGACGGGGCTAATCCTTCTCAAATTCAAGTCCGTTGCCCTATTCCCTGTGCTAGTTTTATTAGCGACATTTTCACGAGATGCCTTGCCGAATTAACCTTGTGTTTAATCAGACGATAATATTTAGGAAGAAATATTAACGAGCTTGATGTCGTTCTCTGTTGCAGATAAACCTACGCCTTATTCTTGTCAGCGGTAAGACAAAAGAGTTCCTATTCAGTCCGAGCGACTCTGCAGGGGACATAGCGCATCATGTGTTTGAGAACTGGCCGGAAGGTATGTTATTATTTGACTTCTCTCAAATCTCGCTTTCACATAAATCCTACACGTATTGATCGATTACACACAACCTATCCGATGCGAAAATAGTTCCTTTCTTTACAAAGAACGATTGAAAATATTGCAAAAACTGTAGTCGAGATTTTTAGTGAATCTCTTATAAAAATAGGATATTATTGGAATTATAGGATATTATTAAGAAAATAAAATTTACGATAGATTTGCGACGTTATATTCCAGTTTATAAATTTCAACGAGATGAAATTGGGTAGAAACAATGAGCCGCAATTTGTTTTATGACTGTGAGGTGTAGATTGTAGATAATACCAAAGACAGAAACTTTCCTTTGATGCGCTTTATTATTTCGTTTCCTCTTGCTCTTACAACGTGTCCCAGCCGTACGTTTTACAATGTGACTCATGATCGGGAGTGTATATCCAACGAGATAGGGAACAATGGCCGCGAGACACGGAGTCCGATTGAACGTCCTGTAGCGTTAATCTATCACTCAGAATCTCTCCCGACATGGCGCGACATCGAAATTCCCTATCGTCGCGAAACACGGTGAAGGCATCGCATTTGTCGAGTGCTCGCTCGCACAATTATTCTCGCACGCGTCGCTGTGATTTATTACAAATGTGCCCGTTGCACATTTTATACTAAGATTATTAGATTCTATAATATTTTTCTATTAGATTTTTATAATAACGTAGTTCCAGGTTACGTCTAATTGTATACCAAGTAATTGTACAAAATATTGGCCTATTTTTCAATTGTTACTTTCATATTTCTAACAGAATTGGAATGTTCCTGCGATAAATTTTGTTGAGCACGTAGCAAATTATTTTCGTTTTGATTTATAACAAAATGTAACGAGGCAAAGTAATTGTATCCTCGTGGAAGAAATTTAAACTTTAGAGACAAAACGTACGAGAACGTACGCATGATATACGTACTTCAATCTACTAAACGCGTCATTGACCAGTCCCGTCTGTCTATACGCAATGTCGTTCCAGTGTCTACACGCTGCACTGTCTATCTACTGTTTTTTATGCCCGTCACTGTCGAGCTACGCGGAGCACGAAAGTACCGGAATTGAAAACGATCGTGGGAACGTATAGGCCGTGAAACATCGTCGCCTATCGTGAGATTTATCAGAAACGCCGACTACGATTCAATTGAACGTTGGCGTAACGTGGAACGGTGAAACGTGAAGTAATAATTTCGTAACGGGCCGAGGAAGTGTGATTTATCGCGTCTGTAACCGTACTCTTTTAGCACAAATGATCCTTACAATTCTGCCACTTCACATCGTTAAATTAATTATTTTTCAACGATGTGAATAACAGATACATACAAGCAACGAACTCGTTGAGATCTTGGATTCTTCCTCTTTAGTCTCGCCTCGCTTCATTTCGTTATCGTTAATGGCAAGATTAAATTCGAATTAGCGATCACAGTCGTTTATATAGTATAATTTAAAAAATTGCAACATTTTGATAAAATCTCAAATTACAACTGATTAAAGACGTATCAGCTATACAATCCCTGCCAAAAGTGACGTAAATACGAAATATTGAACTTTATATACTTTATAGGGACAGAAAG